ATTGTCTAATTTTAAATCTAATCTATTTTTTATAATCTATCTTTCAGTCAATATCTAATTTTTTGTGATATTCCAGACTAATATATCACTCGAATGAAATTGAAGCATGGTCTGTCTAACATTTTGGTTGCAATAGTGAAATACCCATCTCATTGTTGTGTTCTTTCTGTGACATTTGTTTGTTTGTTTATTATTTGCACAACAGCAACATTCACCAAGTGCCTCATAATAAATATTAATATACATGTACAGTGTATGTTCATGAATAATAAACATATGTCTTTCCAACCATCCGTTTCTGAGAAACAACGAAGTAAACATACATGTACCAATATCAAATCCCATTTGTATTGTTAAGATCATAACATATACAGTTTGTGTACAATCAAATGAATGTTGCTTTTTGACAGACAGCAATTTCTCATTAGGCAAGAGATGAAATTAGAATCTTCTGGATGAAATTATAATTAGTATTACATGTACATATGTACATAAATGTGATGTGAGAATGTGTGAAATAGTTGTAAAGAAATTATGTACAAAGCACAATTCAGTTTTATGATGTATTTTGTAATGCTTTACAAAATTGGCCAATTATAATTATGAAGATTCAGAAGATATCTTGACTACATTATACCTGCAGGCTACATCCTAATTTTGTATTTCGGAATGTCATTGATGATTGTTTATCTGTCCTCAGACATGTTAATTAGTGTCTGTTAGATAGCAACAATGATTAATGAAAGCATATATATAAGAAAAGCATCTGATTCAGTCTTCCATTTCTACTGAATTGTAAAAGAAAGTTTTGTACAGTAAATGACAGATACTGGCGCCTAATATTCCTTAACGGAATTAAAAATGCTGCTCTTGTTCTAATGTATCATTCGCAACATATATGAAGGGAGACACTTATTATCTGCAAGGCTGCTTCTGGTAAATATCATAAACATTCTGAGATGAATATTACTAATGTTTCCTAATTTCATTCAGCGCTTGTTTTATTACTTACGTCTACATGAACCTCGTAAAGTTGCTTTTGATTCCCACCAGAGTAATATAGCTGAAACCTGTGAATCTAACACAGTCTGCTGACAAGTGTGAAGGTAACATTGCTGATAACGTGAATGTTTAAACTTTGAAGTCGAACATATACTTGCGGTTTATCCCTTGTCTCTTATACTGCAGGAAGATAGCATTTTCTCATTAGGCAAGAGCTCCATCATTAGGCTGCATCTTTCACTAATTTACAAAATGGCCCTTTTTCTTACTGCACCACAGGTGGGGAAAATAAACCTGTAAACTGTAGATAATGAGATGAGCCTGCCCTGTGGCTAAAACCATTGAATGTTACAATTACATCTTTGTTCAGCTTAAAAACAGATTTGAAAGTACTACTGTTTCATCTGTTTTTCTTAAGATCTCTTTTCAAAAGCATAAATGACTTAAGATGTAGAATACAAAACTGTTAATGGCTGCTTTGTGAGATAAGAAAACCATGTGAACTAGGACTGAAGGATAATTGCATGTATGTCTCCTTAGATTTTGCTTACTGCATATTTTTAGTCACTACTAGTTCAAAATGTATTAAGAAAATCAAATGATCAGAGCATTAAGTTGAGCATTTCAAAAGGTTTCAAAAGGACGTAGAAGCAAATACAAACTGGCCAAAAACGCCATTATATTCTTCCTCCAGGCCAGAATGGAAATTCTTGTTATAATCTTTCCTAGACTAGTGTAGACTCTCATCAAGCAATTATCATATGTGGGACTCATTCCTTGGCACCAAGCACTGTCTCAAAACCTAGACAAAGCCTATCTTAAATGTTTACTCCTCTTAAAACCAATCCTAAGGCTGTATGTAACCAGGTGTTACAGCTGTTTTAAACCTCTTTATTAGGCCTGGAACACTTGCAGCGGTTTGACCAGGTCAGAGGTGATATATGGCCAGCGGCTACAAGCGGAAATTGAAGTGGCCATCGATCTAAAGGATACACGATCGAACGGCACGTTAATTTGTAGTAATAGCGGGGCTGTTAATGGTTGACACCTTATTAAATGCTAGGCAAATAAAAACCATGTGTGTCTGTAAAAGAATTGACCCAGTTTTGCATGTGTAAGGCCACACCAATTTAATTTGTTGGTTCTCGGATTTTTTCAGAAAAAATATGAAGCGACAGGGCGAAAAAAAATAAAAATAAAAACAGGTCTAGGCATCCTATTATAGGCTTAAATGCTACGAAATGAGCCATTAAGTCAACACAAAAGGCTGGGTTAAAATTTAAACATTGAATTTTGAACTTTTAATCAAACCACTGCAATGATAGATGGGAAAACTGTAACAACTAGGAAGAAAAGGACTATCCTCAACTGTTGGGGGCAAAACATGAGCATTTTTCAGTTGATTCAGAACCAGAATCATTTTTTTTTTTTTGCAAATCAGAAAAAAACGAAGAGGCGAATCCGAGAACCAACAAATTAAATTGGTGTGGCCTAATGCTGGCAGTATTCAGTTCTCCAGTCAAGAAGGGAATACGGCTGCAATAATAAAAAAAATCTACTGTTTCAAAATGTTATTTTACTGAAATCATTATCATCTTCTGGACCTACTACAATGTTAAAGCTATTACACATACTATTATCTAATGCAGAACCAAAAGATCTAGTGCATCAATGGTTCTTAGAGAGTAATAAAGTAGAAAAGTTCAGGATTTGGTCCAAGCATGAAAAGCAAGCACACTGTAGACACAGGGCTTTCTGGTGAGTTCTAGTTCTTCATCCCAACTATCACAGTATCAGTCTTGGCCTTCTGTGTATGCTTCAAGTACTTTCCATCAAGAGGCATGCACCATCATGGCTTTTTCTTTTTATTACCATACTGAATGTCAAGAAGTTGTTTTGAAGATAGTACCAGGAGAGATTTATTGTCTTCGTCAGAAGGACTATGAAATTGTCTCGCCGGAGTGTGGGGAACTGCGGATTTTGCGTTATAACTCTGGAAGGCATGATTCGACGTCCATAATTTTTGGCAGGCAGATTACCGCTGTTGAGGCCAAAGTCAAGTACAAGTTTCGGCTTCGTGGGGGGTCCGTGCGTCACGTTAGTGCACCTTTTGTGTTTGTGGCTTGTTAGCAAAATAACTCAAGTATTTGTAAAATGTTGATTATAATTCTTGGTGTGGTGCTTACTATTGTCAGGACCAAGGTTAAGTTCGTTACTGAGCTTCGTGGGGGGTTTCGTTGTGACTACAGGGGGCATTTTGTTAATTTTTCTTGTGAGCAGGATAACTTTTGTATGTGTGGATGGAAGTTAATGAAATTTGATAGGCATGTTACTGTAATGGTCTCCAAGATTGAGTTCAAAGATGAGAGTCGTGGACGTCGTTATGTCCCCGTAATAGGACCTTTTGTGTTTAGAAATCCCCACCTACATCTGCTTGGAGACAGCCGACAGCTGGATATAGCCGGGGAACCCCATAATGGGATGGGATCAAATGACGTTACATTGAGGGATCGTACTATAACTTCAGCAGGGGAGGATAGGTTGGACATATGTCAGGTTATTTTCTACGGCCACACCAAGTAATTGCTATGGATGACGTCCACTAGAGACCTTAAATCTAATTACCTTAAATTTAAGGCAAGCGCGCAGTAAAAACACGAAGGGCCGAAAAATGAGATGCCTAGATTTGGAATATACTAACTGTAGAAGTACAAATGTTAGGACACAAAGAACACAAGTCTTCTATTTGTCATAAAGACAAATTAACAAAACAGCAGCCAGTAGTCACCCTGTTCTGATTCTTTCCTTTATAACATCTTCTCTTATTATATTTTGCGGCGCTGTCGTGACACTTTCAACACAGTAAGAATTTCTTGAACGTTTTTTTTTCCAGTAACAGTCCAAACTCAAATAACGTAGGGGGGGGGGGGCTAACACGGGTGACGACGCATCTGTATAATCTGCGGCAAACCGTTTCAGGGTGTTCTGTACCATAAAAATAGTACAGAGATTCTTTTGTTCTTTAGACCAAATTGATTATTAAAAAGAGTGAAGAATACGCATGTTAATTTCTCTAGAACGATGTACCTCTGACGAAGACATGAGATCTCCGACCTCTAGTTTAGAAAGTGGTACGCCTTCTGGCGATGGTAATACCATGATGGCTTCCACAGAATCAGCAACCTTTCCTGTACCTCCCAAAAAGATGTCATCTCCAGGAATAAGCCAGGCCGAGGATTTCCTTAATTGCTTAAGGCCCTGCTGTTTTCTCCGTATGGACATTCTCCAACAACATTAGTGCACCTGTAGGTCGGAAAGACTTCCATCAAGACTTCTTGATTGTACGGGCTGGAAGGATCCCCGAAGATGCATGAGTTTTCTTGTAATTCCTGGGTCTCCTAGTCCTAATCCTCAAGAACAAAGGGAGATTGCTTACGGAGAAAGCAAATGCTCTCGCACAGGAAGTGGAGACTTTTCTCAAACAGTTCTAGAATACTGATAAATGTGGGGTGGGGCTTTGAAGATTTGATTGAAACTGATCAGGGAAAGGAGGGAACATGTCTACAAGACATCCAGGATGGTGGAGTAGGAGATAGCAGTCTTTCTTAGGCTGCTGCCTAACTATACTGTACATGTAAGTGTAACCTCTGATACAGGCTGTTTGCCTAACTGGGCAATAACCTTATCCCTGTTGCCTAACTTTGGAACCAGTGCAAACTTGATGTCAAAAGGCAATCCTAGCAGGAAGAAGGTTGCAGCAGTCCATTGTAAGACTCAAAATTTTATTTTTTCATTCCTCATTTCACAATGTAGCATCTCAATTTCAGAGATCTGAGATTTAAATACGACATGTATATGTGCATTTGTACTTCTGACTTCAAAATTGAAAAGCAAGGAAGGGCATTTGAAACATTAAATTATTACAGGGCTGTTCTAGATAACTTGGACAAAGTAAAATAATGTATAAGAATGGAAGTTGCTTTTGTTGAAGTACTCACCATGTACAGAAGTATGAGGCACAGGACCACCTCCACATAGTTCAAGCTAGATGGAAAGAAAAGGGGTTAAAGACAAAAAACTTCAGTTAGTCAGAGAAGAGGGCAGAGCACTTAACTTACATGGTTATAATAGTACACGGCTGAAGCTAAATAATCATTGTAGTAAAGTGAAAAATTTAGGGATAAAGGTAAGAGAAAAAAGGTAAAGCAGCTTGCAGGAAGTTGGCTGTACTGACATCCAAGCTTCTTCCTTCATGAAGTGACTGTCTACTACACTCATCATGAGCATGATCTGTAGAAAACTGAGAGGGATGGTGTAGATTTGATTGCTTAGACTGGAAGTGATAGAAAGACAATTGCAGCAGAGTTAAGAAAATTACAGAATAAGAATTAGACACATCATCAACTCTCAGGGTGCACGCACAAGTATAGAAATGTACTTAAGTCTTATTTTCTGAGTCTAAATCTTCATTTTGCAAGCTATTTGATACACAGAATTACTTTTCATATCAAAACCACTGTTTAAGTTGCAACTGACCGTGTCGAAGTTCCACATTTTCTTCTTCTGTAATTCCAGTTTTGTGTCAAACTTCAATTTTTACACAAGGAATAATTAATGTTACTCAATCTGATAAGAATTCAATCTGATGATGATGTGATACTCACAGAGAAACGGCCATCACAAAGCTGTCTGTCATGTCCTTGTACCTCATGTCAACATCAATGTACAGGCTGTCTGTGGAGGAAATAGTTTCGTAATGGTACATGCAGTCCTGTGCTAGCCTGGACACCATCCTGGTTAGTTTACATCCACTCCCACAGTCGGCGTCGTGGCAACTGTGCGAGTGGACATAAACCTACCAGGAATCTTATATCTATTTTTCATTTCATTGTTATGACAGTTCCCCAGATATAATTATTGTCTTCCTCGCAAATAATCACCATTGGTACTAGTACCTCCTAATGTGTCAAGAGCGACCTCTAGCAACCCTTGTTCGTATCACAGTTAATGTAGTGAACACAACCCCAGGGATCACACTAGTTCTTCGGTAACAGCTTCATTAGTTTTGTAGGGTTCATTAGGTTTACGCTAACCCTAATCTAGGGTTATCTAACCCTAATCTAGGGTTACCTAACCCTACATAGGGTTACGATAACGGCTAACCCTACTTTAGAGTAACGCTAAGCCTAAATTAGGGTTAGGGTCAGGTAACCCTAAATTAGAGTTAGCATAACCCTAAAGTAGGGTTAGGGTAACGCTAAATTAGGGTTAGGTGACCCTAAATTTAACGTTAATCTGATTAATTTTAATTGTAGAGTCTAAGCATGTACAAAATCAGGATTCTGGAAGACAGAATTGGCTGAGGGCTAGAGAAGGGTAAGAAAGATATTGAAAGGGCAGAGAAACAAAACAGAGTGATATTGGATGTTATTAGAGTAGGTGAGATGTGTATGGAAAGCAAGGGCAGATATGTATAGGATATATGTTCACGTACCAGAGCACATAGTGTAGTGGTGTAAAAATTATGTATGCTTTGGGTGCCCGTATGCTAATGAGCAAGGCTAGCACATACGGCCCAAAACAAAGTTCTTCGGAGTGGGGGTGGGGGGGTTCTTTGAGGTATTCAACAGCTGATTTTAGCCTGCACTCATTGTAAATTTCACTCCTTGACTATCCTTTTTAAAAACCTCACCCTTCGTCCTCTCACTTTCGAGCTGCACTTTGATAATTTTTCAGATTTTCGGGAGTCATTTTCCCAAACTGTCCCAACTCACATGGTTTCCAGTACAGGTCCAGGGCACCTCCTGGGAACGTATGCGGCCGTAGCCAGATGAAAGAGGCGTCCCACGTCTGTATGACCGCCGTACTGACCAGCCAAGCCTTCACCCATCCTGGAAGGGGAGTCTTTTCGTCTGCCATAGCGCTTCTTGTGCCGAGCAAAGGTCGGGAGAGTTTCGCTGTGTTGGTAACTGATTATGAAAGTCCCGCCGCGCAAGGCATTGTGGGGGACACACCACATCCTCAAGTGTCAAAAACGACCTCTACCAACATCGCAGTAAAACGTCAACACGGAACAGACCATTCACGTAATTGTTATAACCTAGACTTTGATACACCCTGTGCTAACTTGTCATATATAAAATGTAACATAATGTATAAAAGATGCTAGGTTTAAGGGATTATAATATCCGAGACGCATGCTTCCAAACAGGCACTAGGAATAGGGACATTTATCGACGAAGGGGCTCCCGTGATACGGTGTCCAAACAAAATACTAGTATTATAAAGCCGGATAGCACGTAACTAGCCCACGGTAATCTTCACAGACACGATTACTTTCAGAAATCCCATATTATCTGTTCACCCAGATGAGGCGGTGATCATTTAATCGACTTTTCTCGGTGTGACAACAACATATAAAACACATAACATTCTCCATACCGAAGCGAATCTGAGTCAGAAATCAATAAATTTGCGTCAGTTTCGATCATCCGAAAATCTCCAGTCATTTCCTGTAGCCGAGGATGGCTTGAAAAATCTAAGAGGATTGTCATTTCGAGGGTAACGTTAAGGCCAACAAGTAATAAAATCTGTGTCTTAGACAATATCTCGGCAAAACACTCCGGTCAGTGCAGTGTGCCCTAGCCAATAACCTAACGTGCGCGGGGCTGTCATTGTGCCCTAATTGACTCATAGTGCGCAGAGGACGAACAGAAAGCCTCCGAAGACAGGCTCTCTCCGACCAATCCGCTATTTCGTCTCTCCACTTGCCAACAAAATGGACGCTCGTCAGAGACTAACACGGCGACTGCCTCCTCTGCCGTCTTCTCTGGGAAACAAAGGTAAGGTTGTCAATATAATTATTCCTTTGCTTTCTTTCTGAATCATTACATGGGAAGCGAGTAATCTACACGAAAGTAAATGGATAGAAAGTGTACTCAGTGTTCCGGTAACTCGATATCGACGTCGGTGTTGCTTTGAAGCACAATGTAGGTTTTTTTAGCTTGCGTATTTTCCTGTTTTAGGGGAACGCACTAACTCTAACTTAGGATAACATCTGCATCATCTATTCCTTCGTATTTAGGCATGCCTACACCAATATTTTGTTATCCAAGGAGGTTAAAAATCAACCCCCTTGTTGTTATCCATGTAAAAATGATCGAAAACTTGAAAAGCTGCGTATGGCGTCTATTCCAGAGACTGACGTCACAATAGGCGATTTTTCTATTTATGATTCCATAGAAGCCGGCGATTTGTGAGATGTGGAAAAAAACGTTCTACAACGTGTTTCTTGCCCGTTTGCCCTGGTTACGTTTTAGTGTTGGAGCTGTAACAAACGTAGCACCCGTTTAGGTCCTTTTCCTCTGAAAATGTTACTAATCTAAGACCGATGAAACGAAAAATAGACGTTGACCCGACGAAACATTATCATGTCCATAATGCGTAGCAAAGTAAACATTTTTATAGTCAGTCTTCCCTCAAACCCTAAAGCTTTGTCATCGGGAAAAGCCTCATGTAAACAACAATCTACTTCAATAAAAACGTTGTATAAGAGAGGATTCTGATTAAGTAAACCAACGTTTTAACGTTTATCAGACGCCCAGACGGAATCTGAGAGTCAGACGCCGTCCACTCTCTACAGACGAACTCTTCGTAAAGTCGTCATCAAGAAACCCTCACCGTGGTCATGTTTGTTCCCAAACATCGCAGCTCGCAGAGAGCAGGTAACACTTTCTTTTTCTTTCTGTTGCTTTTCCGTTATGAATATTTCAGCTTAGTTTTCATTATGTGTGTATTGAGTGGTGAGAAACGCACCAGATGGCATTTTACAGTGTAAAGAAGATTTTAGTGAAGGGGAAAGGGCGGTTTTATGATCGGTGTGTACTCTTTGGAAACTAAAAGACAACACAGGTTGGCATTAATGATAATCGAAAGCCATTTATGCTGCCATCTTTTCAATGCTGCTGAAAGAAGAGCAAATAGGATGACGTTACGGACTCCCTAACAAATGACCGCCCATTTTGATTTATATTTGTCAAATATGGGGAAATAGGGGCTTCTCGCCATCAATATTTTTAGTTGGAGAGTAATTCTTATATACTGTATACTTTATTAGAATATAAACATTTAGAGTTTGGGAAGGTAGCCGGCCTGTCGAAGCCGCTGTCAGCAGTAAACATGTAACGTTAGCGTACTTATTTTGTCTTGCATTGTAGCTTTGGTACAGGATGAAGTCGGAGCCTCGCGGTCTTGCCTTCATCCTCAACAACAAGCACTTCGACACGATGAAGGTCCGGCACGGCTCCGACTGTGACTCCCGCAACATGGAGCATCTCCTCCGGGCGCTCAGGTTCAACACCGAGGTGCACAGGGACCTGACGGCTGAGGTGAGCACGGCATTTCTGTGCGGTAAATGTCGTCTGCGGTTTTTAAAACATCGTCTCCATGACAGAATATTTCCGTTAACATTCGAACCCGTTCAGTTCTAAGAACCTGTTTTGCGCTGATGTGCACACATTCGAACGCATTCAGCGCATTCGAATGTTCAGTGTATCTGTATCTGTAACACACCAGCATCGCAGCATCGAGCGAATTATAACAGCCTTCGCACATCTAACTTTCCAGCTATCTAGCGATGATGTCCCAACTGTACTTGTAACGTTAACGTTACATGCTGATGGAAAATAATCTTCCTTGACATCGTTAAGAAGTTTTGTAGTCTACGAAAGTTCGCACTCGTACGCTGTATGGATCAGTGAACAACTGAATTCGATGTTGTTCTCAGGAAATTATGTCCGAGCTGAGGAAGTTTTCTCTCCGGAACCACTCGGACTACGACTGCTGCGCAGTGGTCCTCCTCAGTCACGGAAACGCCGAGGCCATCTTCGGAACAGACGGAAAACCCGTCAGCTACAGCGCCATCCTCCAGCCTTTCGACGGGCAGCACTGCAAGGCACTCATCAACAAACCAAAACTCTTCTTCGTGGAAGCATGCAGAGGAGGTGAATTGTAGTATTATTGTGCAAAGTTCATGAAGTTAGCCGGTTCCCTCTATCCAATTTTATAACTTCTTTTGTCGGCATAGTGTGACTAGTTCTTCCTAGGGCATGCGAAAAATGTGATCCAGAAATTCTATAACGCAATGCCAAGAACGTTTAATTCATTACGAGTTATTTGAAGAAATGATTGACCATTTCTTTCAGACATGACAGACAGAGGGGCAGATGAATTTCCCCTCCTGCTGCCGTTCAGCTACCAGGTCACGGAAGCAAACAGGCAGAGGAACTACTTTGTGCCATGTGACATGCCCAACATCTGTGACATCTACCTCGCCTTCTCCACCGTTCCAGGTAAAGAGACCACAATTTGTCACTTATAAGAAAATGCTGTTTGAATCTGTCAGTATTCCCTGTCCTTGGTGCTGAAAGATGTGTAGAGAAACGCGGTCTGATCGCAACTAGCTTGGATCAACTTTTCACTGAAAGGCTGTTTTAGTCTGTCAGCATGTCCTGTCCTTGGTGCTGAAAGTTGTGTATGGTAACATGGTATATGATCTCGGGTCATTTTGTCATTGAAAGGCCTTCCACACGCAGCTTTAAATCCTTTTCTAAAAGAATGCCTCAACAACATGGAGTCATTCTTGTTACAACCGGTTATCATTGGCTAAACCAGGTGTGTAGAATATGTCCTTAACAGTGAAACAGATGCACTGCCTACTCAACAAAATGGTTCAATTGAAAACGAATGAATGCTATGAGCTTTGGATGACACTGACCATGGGTGCCGTCCAGTGTAGGTTACACATCATGGCGGAACTCCCAGCGTGGCAGCTGGTTTGTCCAATCACTGATCGACGTTTTCTCAGAGCACGCAGCAAGAGAGGACCTGTGCTCACTTATGACAAGAGTAAGTTTGAAGGGATAGTTTGATATTTTACTTAAAATATATCATCATTTTGTTTCAGTTGCTTTGTTTCATTTTTCGTTAGGTAGACATAAAAATCAAAAGGACGAGGATATATCAGATTGAAGTCTTTCCTGTCATTTGCAGGTGAATCAAAAGGTGGCGCTGTCCTTCGAATCACAAGGTGGAAAGCTCACCAAGAGGAAACAGGTGCCCGCGCCAGTAAACATGATGACGAAGAAACTTTACTTCTTCCCTGAGTATGCCAGGTAGAAGATGTAGGATAGTAGTTTTGTTCTGCAAAAACATGCCAAGTTCCTGCGAAATGCTTGGAGGCGCACAATTCTTTGAGGCAGAAGTCAGTATACTATAACATGGAGGCAAGTTGGAACCAAAAAGACTGCTCTATTTGAGACATTTCTTGAAAAACTACCTCTCAGTGACAAGATTTTTTGCATCATGTTTTCAATGCCACGTCACCACCATTAACGTGGTGATTGTGTAGATGGCAATCTACATCAGATAATCATCTGAATCCTCTATCATGATCCTACTTGTGTGAATAATTATCAATAAACGTCATTCTTCTGATACTGTTGGCTTCTATTATTACTCATTATCTACATCACGTAAAACACTCGTGAAATGCTTAAAAAATGATTTGAAGAATGCTAAGCTGCCCTCATCCAAATCTGGTGGAAATGTTCTTGAGAAGTTGAAGGCCAGGCTCTAGAGCTTATATTGGGTGTTAAGTATCCGGCTAGAAGGAACCGCTTTCACGTAGAAGAAGAGTTCCTAAACCATCACAAAATAAAACATGGTAATGTTAGCTATAGCGATATGTGCGATTTAGGTTTGGGTGTAGGTGGGCGGGATGAAACCTTTCCTTTCTCTCACGGCTTCCTGTCCACCTGCAGATGAACGGTTTTGCTAGTTTTCCCGCGATAGTTGACCGCCGTGCAGACGTAGTCCCCGATGTCTCCCACAGTGGCATGCTGGATGGACAGCGTGCCGCTATTCTCTATGTCGATCACTTCCATTCTCGGGAACCCCCAACCCACCGCCAACATGTCACCACCAGGTGTAGTCCAGAATATTTCCGCCAGGGGGCAGCCAGTCACGCGACAGTTGAGCATAGCGCTTTGTCCCTCCTGGATGTGGTCATCGCTGCCGCTGGTGTCTATGGACGGAGCCTGCTCATGTTCACAGTCACATGTCAGCTCGCTCAGCGGTATGTCTGACAGATATTTACCGCTCAACTTTGGCGGGCTGGCGCAAACGACGTCCACGTAGGGATAGGAATGTGGTTGCCTACTCTGAACCCATGCGGCTAAATCTTTCAGCTGACAGTCACACTTAAAGGGACAGCCGTCAATAGCTAGGCTCAGCAACTTTGGAAGTCCCTCTGCTATTTTACCAGGGAGGAAATGGAGCAGATTTCCCTGGTCGAGCATGACTTCGGTCAGATTTGAAAACGACGACGGCGAAAACGCGACCTCCTCTATAATCCGTATTCTGTTGCCTGCGAAGTTGAGAAAGGTGGCGGACGTGACCCCTGAGAACGAGTCTGGTCCCAGATATACGATATTGTTCTGGTACAAGGCGGGGAAGTAAAGTGAGGAGGGCCCTGAGAAAGCGGGAACCACGTGAGCGACATTGGTGAAGTTGTTTCCTCCCATATCCAGGAACGTCATTTTTTCAAACCCGTCGAATGACTTGGGTTGCAGTCTGCTCAGACGGTTGTAGGAAAGATCCAGGCTGTACAGCTGTTTCATACCGGTAAACAGGCCTGGCGGGACCTCCGTTAGTTCGTTGTGGGATAAGTACAAGAAACTCAGAGTTGATGTACAGGCAAAAACGTCGATAGGTAGAGTTGAAATGTTGTTGTGGCTCAGGGAGATTTTGTCTAAAGCGTCAGAGCCACAGAGTGCTTTCGGATCTAGGGTTCCCGCTCTTCGGATGCTTGTGATGTTGTTAAGATTCAAAGTGGACAACCTGAAAGGAAGAAGAGTTAGAAATGAGTCTACGTCATAATGATGACCATGCAGTCATAAAGATCGCCGTTTTGGTGAATCCGGAACCACGTCACTGCACAAAATTCATTACTTACGCACACCTTGATAAAGGTTTCGTTTCTTCGCTCACGCGTACCTTTACACATGCATTAAGGTGTGCTTAAAGATATAATTTCGTGCACTGTATACAGTTGTACTCACCTTCTCAAGGCCGAGAACTGCCCTGCATGTAGATCTTCCTCAATAGGATTGTTGCTAAGCGTGAGGGTTTGAAGTTGCTTCCCGGCGTCCGCCATCATGGTTGGAAAGCTGCCGAGGAGGTTGTCTCCAAGGTCAAGTTCTATGAGAGAACTGAGCCCAGCTAGCGTCATCTCAGGGATAAGATTGTTGGCCAGATGGAGATATTGAAGAGCATCAAACTCAACAAAGGCCCCACTTTCAAGAACGCTGATTTTGTTGTTGGAAATGTCGAGAGAGTTGAGTACGGGAAGTCGTGTGAAAGTGTCATTGTGGATATTTGTGATGTAATTATTCGACAGGGTGATCGTTTCTAACTTTGGATGGTTCTGAAACAAACCGTCGATTTTCGTGATTTTGTTGTTAACAAAAGATACACTTATCAAGTCTTTGAGTCCAGAAAATATGCCACTTTCGACATTTCTGATGTTACTATTAAAACTGCAGTCTAAATATTGTAACTTCGGAATCCCCGAAAGGGCAGAGATAGTGAGCGACTCAAGCCTGTTGTTGTGTAGTTCTAAGGTGGTCAAATTGTGCAGACCAACAAGACTTCCAGGCTCAAGATACGAGATGTTGTTCCACGAAAGGTCGATGAACTGTAGGGTGGAGTGGTTTGTGAAGACCCCGACTGGAACCGTGACCAGGTGGTTGTGATTCCCGTCAAACCTGGTCAGCTGGTCCAACCCGCGAAGCATGCCGGGACGGAACATGGGGATGGAGTTGTTGAAGATGAGGAGTTCCGTGATCGTCGGCAGGTTGTCGAAGGTCCCGACTTCCACCGCGGTCAGGTTCAGGTTCCACCAGATCTGCAGCCGTTTCAAGTCCGGGAGATCCACGAAGTCACCTTTGCGAAGCATCTTTATTGGTGTGAAACCTGCAAAGAAATTGAGTATCTCATTAGACATTACCTGGATGTCTAAACTTCATCGACGAATTTTGAGCTTCAAAAAAAGTACACACTAGTCTACTGCACTGTTAGTTTTTATCAAAGCCAAAAGATGTCACCAAAAAGCTAACACTTGCATCCCTGGAACAAACTTCGAAACTGATTGAATCAATAAAAGATTTACAAAATGCCCTAGCATGAAACCAGGCCCTAGACTGACGTAAATAGATGTTTCTAGAAAAGCAAGCAAAGGTGTCGAAATCTTTCGGTGGGTATATGAAAGAATGCTTATGCGCTCACCTATGACAAGAACAGTCGTGTTCTTCGGTACGTCCCGTGGTACTGCGGTGATGTTTGGTCCCTGGCAGGTGACAGAGTACTCGTGCTGACCACCGGAGCGGCAGTCGCAGTACTTCGGGCACCCCGTGGTCCCGGACAGGACCGCCAGCAAAACACCCAGGACGAGAATGTACCTCTCTGCCATTGTGTCCAATTTAAGTATCTGATAGAATAAGTTAAAAAAAACACACACAAATCAATCGTGAGGAGAGCCGTCTTGTCACCATTGCATATCATCTCAATGCGTTTGACGATGTATTTTGAAGCATACGGAACTCGAACAGTATACTACTCTGAGGCGTTTGTTTGTCGCACAGTTATTTCATATACTGTATCACATGCGTACACTAACAATGACCAAGGTTCAGGCGTACAAAACGCAAGTTCAGAAAGAGCATATGCTACATTTAGGAAAAAAAAAGAGTGCAAAAACTGGCCAGTGTTCAAAAAAGGTAATATCTTCACCTGCGTGTGCCACTACTTCCGCAGCGAACTGAACTTTGACCGATGTTTGCTGAGTTGTAAACAGGTGCATGACGACCACGCGACCAAGGGTTATTAGGGGTCAGTAGAGGGCGACGACCCAAGTGGCCATAGACGTGCTGACGGTCTTTATTTTTGAATCGCCGAAAATAAAGAATGGACGAACGAACGAACGATTAAAACTGACCAATGTCATCGTGAAAGAAACAAGCAACGTTCTCCTGCCTTAATCAACAGGTTCGGCTATCACTACCAATTTTATTTGGGGTTAAACAGTGTTTGGGGGTTACTCACCCCAAGAACAAGGGTACTGCACTCTTGCATTGTTTCTATGTAAATATGGTGGTGTAAAACCAATTTCACACCCAAGTCATAAAAGAGAAAGATGGGGTGAAAAACGGGTTAAACAGGTATGTGTGAAACGCTTCCTTGCCGCCTGGGTCATGGGCGGGTGCGTAAATCGGCTCCCAGGGTGCTAGTCATTCTGTGGGCCTGTAGATTGTATTGTACTAGGCCAATAATATCCTTGACTAGACTTTTAAGTATAGTTACATATACAGTTCCTTCGACTGAATGTATCAAAAGCGACCCTATTAATTGCTGTCGGTACTGCAACCGTGTCGCGTCGCTTTTACCATTACTGTATACCTGGTTATTTTCGTCACCAATACTAGTAATCAAAATTCAAATTCAACATCATACATGGGTCACGGTCTTTCCTTTTATTTACTTGAAATGCAGTGACAGTATACACCCACCACCGGTCTATCGGTTGACAGTCAAATTCAATCCCAACATTTCATAAATATACACAGAACATACCCAACACCACACAAACTCACTTCTCCTGCCCATAAAATACATCACCAAAATGTCAGAAACATTCTGACGGAATATACAGTAAATGTTACCGATAATTCCTGCTGCAACTACAGTCATCTTCTGAGATTTATACTTCAAATTTTTCTTAAGTATTCCTAACATCTATTGATATGCATGGTGGCAACTCATCATAGTAAAGTCTGAGCCATGACTTCACAAGATGTTGTTCCATGTGGATGTGTGAGGCACATGTACAAGCTATGATATGTGAGAGTAGCAGGAACAAGTGCTTGTGGCAAAGGCATTACACACATACTTTCAAATTGTGTTGTCATAGCTAATCTACATATTTGTGATGTGTGCATGTACATACCTTTGCAAAGTGCTAAAATTCAATTTCATTGATTATCATTACTACTAGCAAACGTGGCTGCATGAAATAATTTTGGCATTATTAAGTCTAACACTAGGGGAGCCACAGCTATAAAATTCATTCATCACACTTCAACAAAGATCACTCCAAAGCAAATTTGCTACACAATTACTGAATTTCAACAAAGGACGATCACTTTCACTGAAAACTATGTCGACCTACATTTTCTATTCACACAAAACGTTGCACATTGACCCTGTATGATGAAATGTATAGCGATGCATATATGGAATGTTTTCCTGCATAAAAAAGCATTTTTATGGAATGGCTGTAACATTTTCCATCTTTTACAGACTGCATTCTATTTACTTCATGCTAATTTCTAGGAATTATGTACATCTCTAGATCCTACTTAATAATTGTGCAGATTCTGTCTAGATTTGAATTTTGTCAGAGGAAAATTTTTCTTGCACACTTTGTATGACATTTTCTCCTGAACTTAACAATAAAAGATTGTCACAATTGTCCTCAATAATTACTTGCACTGATACCTCATATGCCTTACAAACACAACAACAAAAGATTGCAAATAACATTACTACAAACCTTCTCTCTCTAGGTGTACTACTGATATGCCCATGTGCTAAATATTTACCCCTGGTGGCCTTTAAGCTATCTTGTTCAACTGAGAAATTAAAATCTGAAATATTCAGCAAGTCAAATTCATTCAGTTGTACTCCTATGCTTGTACACATATCTGATTATCAGTGTCCAGCCATAAAAGGGAACTTCACAACGGTTAATTGTTTTGGGTTATTTTCCCCGTCATTGCACCACAGAAAACCCACTGAGCTAGTATTTTCCTAAGGAAACTGGGCTATAAAAGATGACAGAATGTTGCAAACTAGACCTATCACTAGGGCTGCGGACCGGTACACTGTACCGGTCCAATACCGTAAAAATCGTTTCGGTACAGGTCCAAAATACCGGATCATGAAGTAACGAGTATATACCGAAATAGCTAGTTTACACCATGTATATGACTAAAGATAGGTAAATCCTACCACAAAGACGAAAAATTAGCACTGGAAAAGACGTAAACACCGTCGATTGATTTGAGATCCTCAGTCTCACGAGACATCGCGAGAGTGTGGCTGATCCAGGGTTGTGATTGGTCAACAAACTCAAATCAGGTCAGAGGTCAGTCATTTTCCCTCCTCCAACACTTTATTATTGTTTCTGTGTCATGATTGAAAAAGTGAAGAACACGTGTTAATTTGTCAAATTGTTCAGGTACAGGTACAGGTCCGGACCTGTACCTAAACCTCTGTACCAGTACCTGTACCTGTACCTGATGTTACGTTTAGGTACGCAGCCCTACCTATCACCCTTTGAAGACTACTTTGATACTATGGATTACTACTATATTGCAAAATTTTAGTGACTAAAAATTATACTTTACATGACAGTAGCTGTTAGAATAATGTGACTGATAAAATACATACCTTTGTGTAACATAAACTAGTATTTAGAGAATCCAAACAATTAGAATTAGTCCATTATTTCATTAAAGGATGCATTTCTGTTATTTCACCCTGCTTTTTGATATGTCATCAGCATTCAAGAAACTATCATTTGGAATGATGCAACGATGACTAGGACTTATACAAATACAACTTCTAGTAATAATGCCTACTAATCTGATTATCAATTCTTTTTCTTTACAAACTAAACTCTGCTGTAAGTTAAATCATATAATAACATTATACACTCTAATGTAATGTGCTTTGGTAAAGATTGTCACCATATATAATAATCAAAATTTATGTGATCATGATATCATTTGGCTAGTCTTATTTCTACTACTATTTCATTAATATCATTACATCTGTACTTGAAATTTACAACTAAGAAAACTCATGATAACAAAATTTTTTACATGGACAGTTGAAAAGCCATGGTTGGTGTGTCAGTAGTTTGGGGGTTATGTTAAAACTATTTGTAGCTAAAAATCTGTTCGTGTCAACCTTTGATACATGTGACTCTCATGTCTTTACATACATCATCACTATAGATATCTGCACTGTGGAATGGCGAAAAAATTGGAATATTGTGAAATTTCTGTCTATTTTGACAAAACATTTTTCAGTTCCTATATATGATCTTGACTGTATAATAATGAATGTGTGCATACTAAACTGTATCTGCACCAATTCTTCTCTGCACCAATTCTTCTCATCTCTTTCATTAACCAACAGCTCTTCTTGCACTTTCACAAAGTTTAAGCCCCCCTCCCCCCCAATTACTTACTCCCCTTAAAAATGAATCGACTGATCCAAATTGTACACGTTTTTGACTCAGGTTGTCTGATTTTGGACCAGTGCATATCTGCAGCGGGGGTGTGCAGGTCCTGTGTGTGCGGTCAGCACCCCGTTTCCCACCAGATGGGGTACTTGTCCCTCAGCTAGTATCTGGCCTGGAACTCATAGTGCCACCTGTTGAAGTCAATGTTGAAGGCTACCAGACTGCCTGATGACAGACCTACTAGTACAGTTCTGCAAATAAACAAATGGTGAGGATGTTAAAATTACTAAAAGCTAAAAGTATAAAGAACTTCATGTGCAAAAAGTTGCTCATTAAATGTTCCCGTTACAGGTAAGTTTTACTAATCAATCATGGATCTACACAAATTTAGGCATGTCATGAGATGAGAAGAGCCAGTTGATATGTAGAAAGTTCCCAAATGTTGTATAGTTCCAAAATGTAGATATGTAGATATTGTGTAGTTCCCAAATTTTGCTTACATATCATATCATATCATATCATATCATATCATATCATATCATATCATATCATATCATATCATATCATATCATATCATATCATATCATATCATATCCATTCTTCTATTCTTCACTGCAATTGAGACTTTCAATAATTTTAAACCCCTGGAAAAGAAAAAGTTGCTTACTTTTGGTCATGAGTGAGGTCGAGTGCCCGGACACTACTGTCCACGCCGGGGAAGGTGTAGAGGAGTTTGAAGTTGCTGGTCTGCCAAACCTCCACTATCCTGTTGTCTCCTCCTGTCACTAAGTACTGACCGTCTGCACTCAGGACCATCGACTGGGAGCACACAGAAACAGGAGGATCAGAATGGAACACAGTTAAACAACAGAGAAGTCTCTCTGAAGATGTGGATCTCTGTGCTGCAGCCTTCATCATCAGTTCGACCTGGTGGGACCTGTGCATGTCTGCAGCCGCCATGGACTGATTGCCTTCATCAGCTTCAAATGATCAATCATTTGTGACATGTTGCACCTACTGCCAGTATCAATACATGTACATGTATATTCACCTGCACAAAATGTTGCAGGTGTTTTTTCTCCATCACTGTATGATTTTTGGGGAATGGCCAAAAGCAATGTTTGTAGGTTGCTGAGCCCCGTCCAAAGTGACAAAATTTTTGAAAATATGCCCGACTCTGTTTCATAATATTGAGCTATGGAAACCTTCTGTACATGATCATAATCAATCATTGCAAGGATAACAGATGCTTGTCTCACTTATACAATGTAGGTAAACATCACTCATAAATCATTCATGGATAACAGAAGGATACATGTTGTATCTCACCAGTATGTTGTCGTTCAGCTCCATGGCCCGTAAGAACTTCCCGTTGAAGGTGAAGAGTGAGAGGTGACCCTTGTCGTAGCTGACCACCACCTGACCCTCGCACGACATCTTGACCAGAGTCGGATTCACGCAGAACTCCGGGGGATCCAGCGACCGCAGCAGGTCTCCATTGATGGTGTGCACCAGGACTGGACCTCCTGGACAGGGCAGGGATATTTAGCAAGGGCTCAGGCAAACTTCATCAGTTAACTATCAGTAAACTATGCACGCTCAATGAGCTTGAAACATCCAATAAAGACTAGGCCACTAGCTGACCATACACCTGGACACTACTACTGACCTCTTGAGCAGCTGATGACCAGACCCAGCTCAGCGGACACACAGGCACTCAGAACCTCCGTCTCATGGCCTGTCATGATGGTCTTGGGGATGGCACGCTCAACTGAAGGCGAGAAATGGAAAAAAAAATTGTTCAGGCATCTGATAAGGGTTATACAAAGGACTGGCACAGACTGTAGTCAGGTGCTATCTGGGAACAAACTAATAATCCAGATGATATTCAGGTGTATTCACATTTGTTTGCAGATGAAAAGAAACCACCTCTACCTTCCACCCCACACCACCATTGGTGACTGACTACATTCTAAAACCAGTTAATCTTGGTGGAAACATACAAGCCTACAAAAGCAAGAGTTTCAGAACATAAAGCCCTTGCTTTGTGCTGCCAACCTAACAAGTCTGAGAGCCAGACTACACCAATCCTCACCCCTGTTGCTGTTGTGCGGTTCTCCTGTGATGGCCTGTAGCCTGGAGCTCCAGAACCACAGCAGCAGCGTGGCGTCCCTGCTCCCAGACACGATGTAGCAGTCCCCGCCGATGTAACACTCCGACCTGGCCAGACACGTCACCACGTCCCAGTGGCCGTACACTACCTGCAGCAGCCGGCCTGGGGAGGAACAACCTGGTTATTAGCTAAAGAGATAGGCTGTTAACTGCCTGTGAGCTAAAGCTAGATGTTATCATCATGATCATGCCTATGTCTTGTCATCAATATTTCAATCCTAGATGAGATGCTAAAGCATTAAATGTTGACAGTCACTCCACAGAGTATGGTATAAAGTCTACTCGTAGTCAGTCAGTCCTTTTGTTGGTAGCTTCCATGGCCTTTTTTTGCCTTGGCAGCAGCTATTCTCTCAGTTTCGAAGGTCATGTCAGATAATCTACTTTACATATTTAGGACAAGAGACTACAGGACTATGGGTATTTCCTATTTATGCAAATACCTGTACACATGCTTGTGTACCTGTGTCGGTGGAGTATATCCTGAAGCTCTTGTCCCAGAAGCCACAGATGAGGATGTGCCTGTTGTCGGAGGTGAGCCTGCAGCAGCAGGAGTTCAGCTGGATACTCTGGTCCAGGATGTCGTTCACTTGGCGCCGGTGTACCCCTGTCCCTGCCACTGGAGCAAAAGACCTCATCGTCACAAATCATACTCAAAACATTCTGGACACTGAAAGCTTTGGGTAATGTCTTTTTTTTCAATTTGTCTCAAGAATTCATTGTAACAAATCACACAAATAGCTAGTATGCTATGCCAAAGGGCAGTTATACCGACTATTACAAATACAGAAAACATTATATAGTAGAGGGGATTCATTCCTCAAGCTACCGACATCTTGCACATGCAGTCGTCCCTCAGTAAGACATCTGGAGCCGTATAGTTCTGTTAGAACTTTTATTCAGCCTGTCACACATCGCGTGACAGGCGGGGATACTCACCACTATACAGAAATACAGAAAACATTGTCGCGAAGCTTAGGGCACATTCTTTTTCAATTTGAATTTCCTTTTGATGAAATCTTTTTTTTTTTTTTGTTATGAATCCTGCAATGGCAACTCTTCAAAAGCATGTAGGGCGACAGGACTTGACTTCACACTTCATGCATTCAAAGCTGCAGTTCAGTCTGAAACAGGCAGGTGGCCAAAGCCATGCAAAGACCAGGAGTCAGGGACAGCAACAATCATTGTAAACAGGACAGAAAGTATCAGAAGGTGTGTAGACAGTACAGCCCTACATGATTTAAAGTACATCAGATACTACTAAACGTGTGCAAAACACATGTAGCTACATATATCACCTTATTTTTGCACTTCTAGCCTGTTATTGTTTCACACACTTCAAACACCACTTACATATGAGGGGGTCCACCTCTATGGCATACTGGTTGGGCTCCAGAGAGTACCCTGGCGCTCCTCTAAAGGTGGCTGCAATAATACAGAATAAGCCATTACCCTGCAACACCATACAATAGCACAGGACTAACCGTGTAACCCTAATCACAAGTCTATGTTAAGTATATATTGGTTTCCAGAGCTGGTATGGCTATGCTAGGGAATAGGCTCAACTCTCTCCTTATGCTTTGTACTGTTTCTTTTCATATTGACAGGTTATGTGATTTGGAAAAATTCTGAGCAACTTTAATCTTCCTGTTTTCGTCACTGACAGAATTTCCACCTGTTCCATGTCACCTCACCTCACCATGTGGAAGAACAAAACAATTCTGTACTCTATATAAAACAATGAAACTGTTTTTCCCTTAAGCTGGGAACTGAACTGATTACTTGATATGATCAATACCAGATATTTACTTACTGGTAACTTGTGAGAAGTGCATAAGAAAGCAAACTGAAGTGCCAACACAATAAACTTTGAGATATAAAGTGTGGTGTGCAAAGAAATAAGAAGTGATCAAGATGAACAGAAGTGTCCTCTCAAACACAGGAGATAACAAAGTTTTAAAGAAATGGCAGAGGCATATGATTAACAAGATCTCCAAAATATACTGTAGTAATTCTATATAATTTAAATGTCAACATTGCTCTTGTCTAAGACATGCCTCCAAAATATACTCTTACTAATAATTCTAGATCATTTGACTGTCAACGTTGGTCTTGTCAAGATTCAGATGCTGTCATTATGCTAATGGATGTACACTGTACAAAGATGTGAAAGTTGGTGCAGTTGTAACTATGAAGGAGGAACTGAACTTGTAACTATTAAGGAAACTATGAAGGAGGAACCGAAGTTGTCAACATTGCTCTTGCCAACGTTGTAGTACATTTAGATGCTGTCATATGGAAGTATAAGATGTGAAAATCTCTAAACTGGTGCAGTTGTAACTATGAAGGAAGAACGGAAGCTGTTGTACCGGCGCTTGCGTTCCACTTGTTGATGGAGAAGAGCAGGTTGGCGGTAACCGTGGTGACAGCGGGGATGGGGACGTGGGGGTGCGTGTTGGCGGTGAGGTGGATGATGGGAGAGTTGGAGGGGAACTTGAGCGCCACCAGAACGTCGTTCGTCCTCATGTCCGTAAACATCATCGGGGTCTGCAACATGGAAATACCAAGTGGTGGTTAAAACTATTATAGTGACGTATACTGAAACATACACTGACTTACTCACTATCTAGTGTATAAACTGTTCTTCCTCATCTTGAAGGGTGAGGCATGTAGGTTCTACAGAACTTAAGATACAAGAATGGCTATGTCCTTGATGGATTCCAGAAATTAATTTAAGGGAAATTAATTGAAGACTCTATAGCTGTATGATTCTCACTGACATCATGCACAAATAGAGTAATCCTCACAACAAGAGTAACGAGTCCAAAAGATACTATTTTGACAAAACATTTTCAGTTCCTACAGTTCCTGTATATTTGACTATATCACTTGACTATATCACAATAAATGTACCAGATGCATAGCTGAGCTGCGGGGTGGGTGAGGTTCGGTCAGCAGCTGGCAGGGGGTCACACCAAAACTCTTGATCTGGTCCTTAATGGCCTGGAAACAAAGGACAGGCGTCATTTCAAATCATGTTGTATTTACAAGATCTACCACAGCCAAATTTGCATACTTTGACTTCTTGGATGATAATTTGGATATCACAAAGTTCATTTTTTCTCTCACATTTTCTCAAGCATTATGTGGAATATATCATTCTTGGTTTATTGTTGAGGCAAGAGGAAAAACAAACCTCCTTCATGACAAGATCTGTGATGGAGTCCAGGTTCACACTACCCTCGTATGTCAGGTAATAGAACATGTTGGTTGCACGGATGGCTTCAGGACCTGCAATTGTTAGGATACATTTCATGTTATCAGCTATGCAGAAAGGAGTGGCTGGTTATGACTTATGTTAACTACTGAAAATTTGCAGCTGAAGATGTAAGGTGTGTTGCCAAAGGGTAGTTACAATGGGTATAAAGGTACAGAAGCAAAAGTTTGCATGAATATCATCTGAGTTTGATACACCTACCCTTCTGTTTGTATCCGAAAATGAGGTCTATCCACTGATGAAGCTGGCAAGATACAAATTCAGATTCCAGAGCCTAGAAAACCAAATGGGCAAAAATGGTTAAAAACTAGACACATTTAAACTATCACTATACAAATCTGTTAACAGGTGTCAATATTATACACCCAAACAAAAACATAACAATTTTTATTATATTCCTGATTAGAGCTAGTTTATTCTAAAATATCAAAAGTGATAATATTGAATTCCAAACTTGAGGCAAATCTTTGATGAAGAAGACGAGATGGATGGATGAGAAGTAGGTGAGAATATTTTTGTTTGCTCCCTCTTTTTAAGAAAAAGGATCTGTTTCTTCCTACCATCCTGTTTAACCTGATGAACTCCTCCGGTGTCCTGGCCCAGGCTGGCAGCACCACGTGGTCCACAGGCCGACTGTCCTCCATCGTGCCCATGTTGTACCCGTTCATGTTCATCAGCATTTCTGGCAGGTAGTAGAACTCTGGGATGAGCTCCTACAGAACAGACAATATAGTTATGTAACATGCAGAAATCTGGGCAGCATATAGTAGCAGCATCAAGGAGAACTCCCAAGAAAAAAATGACAGTAAAACTCAGAAATAGAGCACGAAGTTACGGAATAATTTTTCCTGTTGTTGTCCTTGGTGCTGAAAAGGTATTCCGTATGATTTCCATTGGAATCTTTTTAGATATTAACAAATGCATAGAAGTGGCAGGATTTGTGGTTGGTACACAGTCACATGTACACATACACACTAAAAGCTGTGCTATTTAAACTTTTAATCTGTGTAAACATTAGCAAAAATACTGCAAGTTAAGTTTTCTGTCTCGTCCCTGTACCTTGACATCTGAGGTGTCCCTCTGGCAGTTCCTCCATGTCTGTAGGATGTTAGAGAAGGTGCGGTTGGCGTGGTCAAACTTGTTGCCTTGAAGATTCAGGAACATTGTGGTGAAAGGCTCCTATGGGGGGGGGGGGGAGTAAAAAAGAGGTGCCCATTGTATTAATGTTCATATTTTCCCACAGAAGAGTCACAACATGAGGTGACCCGAGAAGAAAAAGAACAGAATCAAAACAACAATAGAAGAAAACAATGAATGAAAGCAATCACCAATATACTGTTTATATTTACTCTGACAACAATGGATCAAGTTTATAGGAGTGAACAACTAGTTTTTGTCAAAGACTTTAAGTAACTCAGTATACTTAGGCAGTACATGTACAACAGCATGTGATGGTGTCATCCCAAAATGACACACAATTACAGGCCTGATGCTTAGCAGCATGTTATTCATAGGTTTAAGACTTACTAATCTGATGAGGAAGTTCAGGACAAAGCCTGCAGTGGAGTAGTGGGTCCCGTAGTGGAAGGGTGCAACATCAGGGTCGTCCCAAGCCTCGTACCGCTCTTGGAAGAACGACCGGCGCTTCGGGTTCAGAGCTCCAACAGGCTGTATCATCATAAACGGCAGATTAGCTTTGTGGGATTGAGTTAATGCTATGATATAGGAAGTTATTATTTTATCATAAAGGGCATATTAGCATTGCAAAATTGGATTAACTACATGTACTACTAGGCTAAAACATCATAAAGTTAACTTACACAGAAGTCAATAGTCTCCAATGAAGTCTACCACACACTGATGACACCTAGCTGAATTCCTATGAACTACACTACCTTATACTTTCCCCACATTGCAGTATTTACTTCTATCAGAAGTAATAAGAACTGCAGCTACAGATTGGTCCTGGCACTCTATTCTAGATCTCGTAACTCAGCAAAGTAATGCATGCCTTAAGGGACCGTAAACCTCGCACAGAAAGATGGCAGACACCAATGTGTCATGGAAACATTGATTAATCAAGACTCTGAGCTTTCCAATGAGCGATGGGATTTACATATTGAGGTATCTTTTGAATAAATAATTCATCTATTTCTGCAAGGATTTTCTGCCATTGTAAGATGGGTCCACTCCTATTTGATAAGGCCAAAGAGGAAACTACATGGTTTTGGCAAAGGTTTTCTTTGATACTCAAAGAAGTCTAATGCTTGTTCTGGAACAGCCAAAAGAACATTAGAACAGTCTATCCCTGGATGATGTCTGTTAGTTGTATGACTTCAGATATGAACTCTGACCTTTGACAAGTCGCGGAAGTTGCTCGGCAGCGTGAGATCCAACTCCTCTGATTCGTAGTTAGTCAGTACCCAGGGGAACACCGGATACTGGTTCAGATCATTGTATGTTCGACCTGGAAAAGACAAACAATCATACCATTCACTATGAACATTTTTTGAGACCAGCAGGTCCTTCTAAATTCGGGGGATACAAGGAAAGTCTGGAAGTGTTGAACCACATCCATCAACACCTTTTCTTTCTTAAAACATTCACAGCATTCCAAACTGTTTCTTTCTTAAAACATTCACAGCATCCTAGTCATCATAACTCTCTCCATAATGTCATCAGTATGCCTACCAGCTATCGTGCTGACGAACATCAGGTATTCGAAGTTGGAGATCTCGCGGCGTTGCCAGCGGGCCGTCATGTTCGACATACGGAACAGCTGCTTTGGTGTTGCCAAGGAAACTCTCCTACAAACAAACAAACAAACATCAACATTACACTTACTTGTGATGGAGACAATCAAGTGTTGTTTGTAAAAATCAAGTTGTTTAGAGATGTTCAAATAAATCCTGTGGTGTAATTTTTAATCCAGACTACCATAAATTAAGTAGGTAGTACTTTTTAACATGGGGTGAAAATAAGATAAGTACCTGGCCTGTGGCAGCCCATAGTTGACTCCCACTCCTACCCTAGGGAGGGCATACACCACTTTTTTGACTGTGGCCTGGTCAGGAAAACTGAACATCACGGAGGCTGCAAAACATCCACATGGCAAACATTAATTCTAATATGGAATATATATATACTTCTGCTATGTGATATTTCACAGTAGATTAGGGGAAATCTCTCCCCAATCCTTGCCTTTATCACTGTTTTTCTTTCCTTAACAACAATCGAGCACTGCACAAAATCATATCTTTAAGCACACCTTAAAGCGCACCTAAAAGGTATACGAGAGGGAAGGAACAGAACCTTTACACACGCTTTAAGTGTGCTTAAGAATAGGATTTCGTGCAATACAGTGAAGATGACACTGTTGTGACATTGCTTGTGTCCCAGTCATGGCTGGATTGTTTTGAGTGATGAGATCTGATATCCAGTGATTTACCACGATGTCACCTCTGGCACCTACGGTGTGCTGGGTTGTCATGGAAACTGCGGAACCCAACACCCGCGCTAATCCCCATAAAAACCCACAAGGCCAGTCTGCCATAACTGTCAATCAAACCAGCAGGGGAGAATGAAGGGGAAAGGCCGACAGGGGAGACATTTGGGAAGGTCACACTTTGCAACGGGAAAATAACAACATACTTAAACCTAGTTAAAACATGTATTAGTCCATACCAATCTAATTAATTGGCTCTCAGATTTGCCCGCTTCATTTTTTTTATTGGCAAATATAGACTCTGAGGTTTCTTGATCAACTCCAATTTGTGCTAATATTTTGGCCCAAACAGTTGAAGAAAGCTCCATTTCTTTCTATTGTTACAGTTTTTTCTGTCTGTCAATGCATTGGTTTGATAAGAAGTTTCTGTTTTGATTTTCTTCCCCTGTTGCTTGATATTTTTTCTGAAAAATCCAAGAACCAACAAATCAAATTGGTGTGGCCTTACATATAATATGTATGTATATGGAGGCTTTCTTGGAACTTTTTAGGTATCATCATCAATGTTACCTAAAGAAGAATTTGGCCATAACTATTTTCAGACATCTCTCTTACATCTGTTTGCAAAGAAGATCTCCAACGCCGTCCTTTGGTGGAGATAGTTGCGTGAGAAAATGGCCACGATGTCGTGGAAGTGCCACTTGCCATGGATGCTCTCTGTGTACAGCAAGATCTGGAACACACAAGAGAACAGGTAAATAAACAAATAAACAACATTCAAACGACAGTCACATGTTCATTATATTGGTATATGAATTGTTCACAAATTTATCTGTACCAGTTGATCATGTAGCTGACTGGATGATGAGATGGCACATTTGCGTGGCCACCTACTGATTCTATCCAAAACTACAAGGTCTTAACCTGCTGAACTTTGTTGTAACATTAACAATATTGGATTGTCTCAGCAGTTTGCATATACATACGTTTTTGTATCAGATTTCCAACTGTAAGTGGTGTTTGGCTTATAGCACCTCTCTTAGACAAAACAAACTTATTACAAAAGTTTAAAGGCAATACCTTCACAGTGGGTATACTCATAAATGGATATTTTCCCATGCCAGGCAGATATGAATGTGCTGAGTATGAAGATACATGTACCAAGTGGAGAACACAAATCATGTTTTGTTGGTTGTCACATGGAAGACTTTAACATTGTATCTTGGTGAGTGTTATGATGCATGTATATATTCATGGTGTGTTTGTACATGTATACACAAAGGTATGTTAGGAACACAACTGGAGTAAAAGTGACAGGCTGTGAAAATATATGGTGTATGCATTGAACACAATGTCTGTTCAAACAAAATCTGGGCAGGACAAATGGAGACCATACACACAATGGCTGTCCAGCACACGTAACAGTCTTGTTGATACAAACGTGAAAGGCTGGAGAACAGTCTGTGCAACCCGAGGACCGTATCTCTGCCGGACAATCACTTTATTCAGATGCAAATTAGAGGCATTTTGTAGCCCCTCTTCACTCCCAATTTTCCACTTTCCATGGAATGAAGTCTCATTTGCTTTGTAGCCTCAGGTCAAGGGTTAAGACCTTTGTGACATCGCGACAGTGAACTTCAAAGCACCGGCGACTCTCGAGTGGCGTCCTGTGATTTTGTGCCATCATTGTGGCCTGCTGTATTCTGAGACACCTCATGTCGGGACTCACAAAGCATATGACAAACGTACAATGGATGCAACAATGCAAGATAAAAGTTGTTTAACCACTAGGACTTTGCCAAAAAATAAGACTTTTCCTCAGCATCTTGCTCACTTTAGCCCCAGGGTTCTCTTACTTAGTCTCATGAATTTTCTAGCAGTGTAACATCAAGACTTCGGACAGCGACTTTGAGGAGTGACCAAGAAATCTCTCTGAGGTTAACCACCTTCTGAGGGGTAGGGTAAAACCACTTGGAATAAACGATTACAGGGGGAATCTGTCATCTGAAATTATCCTGAATACTGCAGATTCCATGCAGGATTCCCACTGTTTCCCTTTGTAAGGGGACTGACAAGGCGAGAGAGAGCTGGAAAGGCTGGCTGAGACACAAGGCTACAAATTGGAGGGTAGGCCAGACAGCCCCGCAGGTGACCAGACAACGCAAACCCCCCGCTGGGAACTGGCATAGTCCAAAAAACCTGACCAACCAGGAGGGGGCAGCTTCGTCTTTCAGAACTAAAGGCGAAGAGGGGGGAGAGAGTTTTCTGGACAGGCTATGCTATGTTATAGTATAGATATAGAGAATATATGGGTTCAATCAATAGGTTCAATATTTTTGCAATTTCTACATGAGTGACAAGGTAGGAATGATGATCCAACCTAAAAGACCACTACACCAAGTTGGGAGAAAACGATGATACAAAACAAGTATGCAAACTCTTTAATGATTCTGTGAAAGGCAGTCAACAAAGTATACTACATTGTACATTTGCAAGAAAACCAACTTAGTACCTCCTTTGGCAACAGAGTGAGCAATCCCTTCACAAAACCCCAGGGGTTGGATATGCTATGAGTTAGCAGGTGCAATATGACTGACAGTCGCGATGTTGTTGTCGGCAACAGTTCAAGGTGGGGTCACATGACAAGGTGATGCAATCTATACTTGGCTTACTGATCACATTTTGTGTATGTGGTGTACCTCCATTCTTGTGATTAAAAAAAACAATGAAGCTAGGCTACAGGTCGACTTTAACTTTGGACAAACTTTCGTGATCATGACCCTGTGTCTGCTGATTTGCAATGGTTTTCAAATCTAAAGCTTTGACTGAAGAACTCATGCAGGTAGCCCTGTCACATTCAGACCATCAATCTGTATCAGATTCAGAAATCCTGCTAAGATCTCCTCCTGATTTGGACCAAGACCTTCAGCAACACCACATGCTGCAGGAAGTGCGATTTGGGCCAAAATTCAGTTGTCAAGGTTATGAAAACAATATTTCCCCACAATTATCAAATGTATAGTTTTATCAATTTATGTGACATACACATACATATATGTATACCTTTGTGAAAGAAGTCTAAAACAAACATTTACTACTTAAAGCATATACTCTTCAAACTACTATATGTGTAAAAGACTTCAGACCAAACTTTTGCAACATGAATTAAGAATACTTTTGAAGCTCACTTCCCCTGATACATAAAGTATATGTAAGTTTGGCTTCAAGTTCAATGCTGCAATGTGTAGGAGGTATCCTTTGTTATGTACAAGGAATCAATAGAATGCAACAGTTTTGACATTACTTACTCGTAGTGTTACGATAGATGGAAAGGCAGAACCACTACAGCCACCCCTACTATAGCAACCCCTGATATCTGAGTTATACCATCCCACCAGTAAAGAAGGTCCATAACCTCATCACAACATGTAGAACAAATGGACCTGCAAATAAAACTAATCCCAACATCTGTATCAGACAAGACCCGCAGCTCCCTCAAGTCCCACTAGATCCACTCACGCTGTGACAGACCAAACTACAGGAATCTCCGGCCAAATTCCTGCAGAAACCTGCCCCACAAATCATAAGCCACTTGAGTGTCTGGTATATCAAAGAGCACTTAGCACCCTGGTGAAAGTCTGCCCCCCCACCGTGTGGAAAAATCCCTGTTTGTAGATGGAAGTCAACCATGACTTGATGAGAGTACAATATGGGTCTGGTACATACAGTCAAGGTTTGGACATGACGGTAAGAACAGTATGTTGTAACTGGGCAGTTCTTATGGTCACTTGTTTACAAGATGACAAACTGATATAGTCCTGAATCAACGAAGGAAATAACCATGTACATGTATTCCCAAGGATGTATTTTTGCATGAACCAGTAGATAATCATATTTAGCATTATCTCCTCAGGTGGATTTTCATTTGCATATCATACTAAGGTTCAAGATGTCTTATACTCCTCTTGCATTCAATCAAGTATGATTGGAGCTTTAAACATCTATATATCTGAACCTTGTCACATGGGTGCTATCATCTGAAAAATATTAATTAAAGGTGAACAAAGCAACTGAACCTGGCTACCCTATGTGTACCGTTTTTATCAGAGTTTTCATATTTTCTCTCCGCCACACTCGGCGAGCACAATAACGTCTCTTCTCCAGCCGGATACTGACGCCAGGGTGTCTCGGCAGGACCGGCTTCCTCCACTGAACTTCGCCCGGTGTGGTGGGATGATTCCCACAAGGTGGAATGATCCCATTATAGGTACAAAGGCACGTTTGGCAACCCTACACCTTGCAGATGTACTAGTGCGAGCTCTTTGTTCTCCTCAAGAATGTGATGCTCCTATTCCATAACTGGATACAATCGTTAATATTGTTTTATTTGGATAATAGTAATTATCATCCAAATAAAACAATTTTAACTACTGTATCCAATTACTAGTATATGATTTGTTCCTGTGTATTAGCAATGTGATAAAGATGTTTGCCAAGGAAAGTTGTAAATTGTTTCCCAACATTGTATCCGTGACAACAAAGAGTGCAAGGTAGTGTAAATAAACCTATAGACTGATCCTGCACACCTCCGAGAGGGGTAGGGGTGTCCTACAAGGTGGAATGATCCTGTTAGCTCCACACAAAGGCAAATTTTGCAACAGTACACCGTGCACAGATGGTAGCGGCGCACTGGTGGTGCGTAGGGCTGATATATAGGTGGTATAACCACATGTGATATGGCCATTATGCTGGGAAGCAGGCACCTTCCACCCCAGCATCTTGGCCAGGCTACAGATGACTGGGCACAGGGGAGGTGGCTGGAGTTTGGGGCTATCCTCCTATTACACTGGTATCACAGTCGAGAGCCTATAAACCATCTGTTCTGAAATGTCTGAAAAAATTTGATGTAAGTTCCAATCCAAATACCATATCAAAAAAATGAAATCCTAACATGTTTCGTTTATCCCTAACTCTGCCTACTATCATAAGATACATGTAGATGGTATCTCTCCCCCCCTCATCATCATCATCCCCCCCTATATCCCACAGTGCACTGCGACACTCTTATCCCATGAGCCTGTGATAGCAGGATCTATTCTGTTGAAATCAGCCCAACAACCCAACCTATTTAAACTAATTCAGAGCCTGAAACCAGGCAAATCTCTGAGCTGTAGTTGTGTTCCTAGCCATAATTTTAACCCACCTACATACATGTACACCTTACTCTCCAAGCTGAGGTTTAGGATTCGGCTTAGTTTTGGCGCGTTCTTAGGCATTTTTATCGAGCTCTCTTTTTTGTACTCATACTTTTTTGTAGTGATAATATAAACTGTCTAGCTAATGGATACTGCCTGGCCAGTTTGATACTATCTCTGCAGCCACAGAAAGATCTGCTGGGAGATTATGTACACCTGTCTGTCACAGGGAAGAGACAGGACCATGATGGATGGAGCACATTTGGAGAGGGGGCATGAGCACAAAGGGGGAGGGCCCCTCAACAGGGTACCGGCTCATTAACTCAGGAAAAAAGAAATCCCACTAGAGTTACAGGATTATTGGTGGGAAATTATGACCCACTAGGACGAGTTTGTCATCTAATATAGAAACAAAAGGTTTTCTCAATTACTGTACTGTTCTGTAGAATGATTTACCACATACTTTAGCTACAGCCTCATAAAAGTTTGTCAGGTTCGAACCGTTCTTCTAGAAGACAATGAATGGCTCAAAAGCACA